TGTGGAATTCACCACTGAAGCCATCCATTTCCTATCTTATGCTTTCTGTTTTGGAAACTTATTACTGATTCCATTTCCTTAACAGATGTAGCCTTATGCAGGGTAGCTATTTCTCCTTGTGTGTTTTGGTAGATTATGCCTTTCATACAACTGGTCCATTTTATCTAAGTTATAAAATCTGTGGGTATAGAGTAGTTAATAATAATCCTTTATTATCCTTTTAATGTTCCTGGGATAGGTAACAATGGCCCCTCATTTCACTTCTGATATTAATTTCACTTTTCTTTCTTGGATAGCCTGGTTAAAGGTTGATCAGTTTTGCTGATATTTTCAAATAGCCAGCTTTTGGTTTCATTGATTTTCTGCATTGATTTTGTTTTCATTTTCCTTGCCTTCTACTCTGGTTTTTATCATTTTTCTTTTGCTTACTTTGGTTTTAATTTGCCCTTCCTTTTCTAGTTTCCTAAGGTGAAATCTTAGATTATTGGTTTTATATCTTTCATCTTTTCTAATATATTCAATGCTATAAATTTCTCTCTAAACTCTGTTTTGTTGCATCTCACAAATTTTGATATTATCATTTAATACAAAATATTTAAGCATTTCTTTAGAGATATCTTCCATTTATGTGTTTAGATGTTGTTTAATCTCCAAATATTTTGAGATTTTCCAGGTATCTTTCTGTTATTGATTTATAGTTTAATTCCATTGTAGTCTGAAAGCATAATTTGTAGCCTATTAAAATTTATTCATGACCCAGAATGTGGTCTTGGTAAATGTTCCATGTAAACATATAAAGAATGTGTGTTCTACAATTGTTGGATTAGTATCCTATAGATGCAATTAGATTCAGTTGATTGATGGTGCTGTTCAGTTAAACTATATCCTTACTGGTTTTCAGGCTGCTGAATCTGTCAGTTATTGATAGAGGAATGTTGAAGTCTCCAACGATAATTGTGAATTCATCTATTTCTTGGAGTTCTATCAGTTTTTGGCTCATACACTGTGATGATGTTGTTTGGTGCATACATATTAAAGACTATGTCTTCTGAGAGAATTGACAGTTTTATCAACATGTGATATTCTTTGTAATCCCTGGTCAGTTTCCTTGCTTTGAAGTTTTCTTTGTGTTAATATAGCTAAGTCCAGGTTTCTTTTGATTAATGTTAGCATGGTGTATCTTCCTCCATACTTTTACTTGTAATCTATCAAAGTCCTTGTATTTCAGATAGGTTTCTTGTAGAAAACATATAGTTTGCATCTTGTTTTTTCAACCACTTTGACAGTCTTGCCTGAATTTGTGAATTTAGTTCATTCACATTTAAAATGATTACTGATATACTGGATTAATATTTGCATATTTTTTACTATATTCTATTCATTGCTTTTGTTCTCTTTGTCTTCCATTTTCCGGCCTTCTCTTGTTTTAACTGAGCATTTTACACAATTCTATTTTCTGTCTTGTCTTAGTACATCAACTATACTTAAAATATTTTTAGCAATGTCACTAGAATTTGCAATAATCACTTGTAATTAACGCAACTTTACTTTCAAATAAAGGATGTTCTATAGAATTGAAAAATATAATTCTTGGTAAAAGCAACAAAGAAGCAAACTAATAAAACCACTAACTTAAAAAGATATATGAAACCCCATGCTCACTACAGCATTATTTATAATTGTCCAGATATGAAAGCAACCTAAGTGTCCATTGATGTATGAATGGATAAAGGAAATATGATATAGGGGTTCCTGAGTTGCTCAGTTGGTTGAGCATCTGACTTCGGGTCAGGTCATGATTTCATGGTTTGTGAGTTCGAGCCCCACGTTGGGCTCTGTGCTGACAGCTTAGATCCTGAAGCCTACTTTGGATTCTGTGTTCCCTTCTCTCTCTGCCCCTCCTCTGCTCATGAAAACTAAATGTGAACAAAAAAAGGGGTGCCTGGGTGGCTCAAGTCGGTTACACCTCCGACTTCGGCTCAGGTCATGATCTCATGGTCCATGAGTTCGAGCCCCGCATCAGGCTCTGTGCTGCCAGCTCAGATTCTGTGTCTCCCTCTCTCTCTGCCCCTCCCTGCTCATGCTCTGTCTCTCTCAAAAATAAATAAACATTTGGGGGAGAGGGGCAGGGGGGTGATGGGCATGAGGAGGGCACTTGTTGGGATAAGCACTGGGTGTTAGATGGAAACCAACTTGACAATAAACTATTTCAGAAAAAAAAAATGTTAAAACAATTTTTAAATTAACAAAAAAACAAGAAAAGGTGGTATATGGAATATTATTCCTGCAAAAAAATGAATGGAATTTGACATTTGTGACAATGAGGATGGACAATGAGGACAATACTTTAAGTGAAATAAGTCAGAGAGAAAAAGAAATGCAAATACCATTTGATCTCACCTATATGTGTAACCTAAAAATATTAACAACAGGGGTGCCTGGGTGGCTCAGTCAGTCAAGTGTCTGACTTCAGCTTGGTCATGATCTTGTGGTTTATCAGTTTGAGTCCTGTGTAGAGCTCTCTGCTGTCAGTACAGAGCCTGCTTTGGATCCTCTGTCCTCCCCTCTCTCTACCCCTCCCTCACTCATGCACATGTACTCTCTCTCTCTCAAAAATAAATGAACATAAAAAATACAGAAACAACTACAAAACAAACTCATAGATAAAGAGAACAGATTGGTAGTTGCTAGTGGCAGGGAATATGAAGTGGGCAAAATAAGTGAAGAGTGTCAAAAGGTACAAACAGTTTTAAAATACAGAAGTCATAGGGATATGATACATGTACAGCATATCATACAATATGATACACTGTACAGCATGGTAACTATAGTTAATAATATTGTATTGCATATTAAAAGTTCTCATCACAAGTAAAAAAAAATTGTTAACTATGGTAACATGTGCTAACTAGACTTATTGTGGTGATCATTTGACAATATACACAATCATCAAATCCTTCTGTTGTACTCCTGAAACTAATAAAATGTTGTATGTCAACTATAACTCAATTAAAAAAAATCATACTGAGGACCCAGTCAGAAGAGCATGTGACTTTTGATATAGGGGTAATGAGTTCAAACCCCATATGGAGTGTAAAGATTACTTAAATAAGTAAACTTTTAAATATCATATTGAAATAGTCAATATACTGAAAAACAAATCTGTGTTATAATAATATATATACTTGTTTATTAATACATAAATAAGATCAAGTATTGATCCTGGTTTCAAAGTATTGATGCGAATAAATGTCATTTAGAGATAACTGACCTAAATATAATAAGTTCCGGAGAAAGAGGCATGCCTGGGTGGCTCAGCTGGTTAAGGCTCTGACTCTAGATTTCAGTTCAGGTTTTGATCTCAGGCTTCTGAGTTCAAGCCTCGCATTGGGCTCCACACTAAGTGTGGAGGCTATTTAAAAAAAAAAAAAGAAAAAAAAAAGTTATGGTGAGAAAAAGAAGTTAACTAAGAGTTAGCTAAATAAACAAAAAGTAAATTAAGGAAAATAGGGACTTAGAAATGTTAACATAGGCTTACAACAACATAAAACTTATCTTACGTATCAAAAGGGTCATATTCAACTAGGTTGAATTTTCAACTGAAGAGAGATTTAATTTCTCTAAAATCAATCCATGCATACACATCAGCCAATAACAAAGTTAAATATATTTTCTGGCAGACTCAAATACTTTTTTTGTTTTTAATTTTTTGTTTCCTTTCTTTTTCTTATTTTTTGAGAGAGCATACATGTGCATGTGCACACAGAGCACAGAGGAGGAGAGAGAATTTTAAGCAGGCTACATACCCAAATATATGGCCCTAGATCTCATGACCTGAGCTGAAATCAAGAGTCAGGATCTTTAACTGAATGAGCCACCCAGCCACCCCATCAAATTAATTTGTTTTTAAATTAGGCTAACATTACCATCTGGTGTGGGAAAGCTAGAATGCGGTATTACTTTCTGATATTTTGCGTTATCATATTTAAGAGTCAGTAAAATTAAAGCAATACCCCAAACGTTATAGATTCCAGGGATTATCTTAAAGCAGTGAAAAGCGAAAATACATAAAGGTCTTCAGAACTTAAAACACTTTCTCCAACATACTCAAAACCATAGACAGCTTACAAGAGCTGTAAGCTTAGATGGAGTACAAATCAAGACAATTCTACTATACCTTATTTTGTTTATAACTGAGATCAAAAGTGAGCAAATAATATTTGTAAAAAGCCTGGGTTAATAAGTAAAAAGTAATCATCATAGTCTTCCTTAAAGTCTTACACAAGATAACTGCACTAAAAAAATCCTAACCAATATCTTTATGAAAGAAATGTGAATGAAGATTTGCCCAAAAAAATCATGATGTTTACTAATTTATTTCTTTCTGTAATCTGTAATAACAAAGAAGTTCATGGACAAGAGTACTACCCACTTTGGAGAATTATTGTCAGGATTATACTGACTGAACCATTTCTACCTTCTCCAGTAACTTCAAGAACTATAAAGATGCTCATTCCTTTGACTCCCAACTAGAGTATTCTAGCAAGGTACTTTATATGTCATGTTCCCATAAAAGAACTTACATTCTCTAAAATGTAAAAGTAAATAAATAAAACTAATAAAGTATTAAATAAAAGTAAATAAAAATACTATTAAAAATATTAGTATTTTCTCTAAAAGGGACAAGATATACTTGGGGGAACATCTGCTTACTTTAAAAAAGTTGAAGTATTGAAGGTAAGCAAGAAATGTGAATGATAAACAGCAGACAGCATTTTCAAATAAAAGTACACGCTACATCCTCTTAGAAAACTAATGATACTAAGAGTTTTTGGATTTCTCCAGTTTAGATTGTATGTAATCTTGAATGAGTCCTATAAAACCCTCATCTTTCTAACTATGAAAAAGTCTATTTAATTTATTAACATATCATGCCACATCACCAAAAAAGGTACAGATTTTAGATAAGATAATTTTATTTACAGAAAGGTCATGGAGAATTAACAAAATTTTATGAACACAATTTTTGTTAGCAATAATAAACAGAAACAGAATGGTTTAATACATATCTCTTGTTACATAATACATATTAAGATATAGTTTTCATGCTACATTTATCCATTAGTTTTTTTCTGTTCCAATTTTTAACAAATCTGGAAATAAGGCAGTATACATGGGACAGATTTACTACATACTTTTAAATTATGATTCCTTCTATATCAGATATTGTCAATTTAAAAACCATCTACATATTAAATGGTCTTTCCATTATAACTGCTAAATTTAAAGATATAAGTACCAAATGGAACTCAAAATGCATAAAATTGTCATAAATTCAAGAGGAAAACATTACATTAACAATATCATAAATTAACAAAGAATTTCCAAAGAATTCTGCAGAAGTAAGGAACATCAAGTTTTATTAGGATTAAGTCTAGAATATTTTTCCTTGCATTCTTTTCCATCCAGTTGAAAACACCAAAGTACTGACTGAATATGAAAGGACCATTTATAAACAGATGGCATGTGTCATTTTATGGATGAAAGGAAGAGGGACTATGTGCTTTGATTTGCAAATAATGTTCTTTGTCCAAGTAATCCTCATTGTTTCCATTATCCTTGAATGACAAGATTCATTAAGTACTGTGTGAAAAAAGAGACCATCTTTTTACTGATGGAAGGCTTCTAATCTTATTTGGGTTGGATCTTCTGGATGTCTCAAGGCAATTCCATTTCGCAGAAGCAGCTCAATATATGGTGGCCAAAAAGAATCACTAATTTTGACATATGGATCATGTGGAACATCAAATAATCTATTTAAAAGAATCTAGGAAAAAATACCATTCAAAATATACCTTACTTATTTAGTAAAAAAATGATACAGCTACAATACAACATTAAAAATTCATTACCAAAGAATGTTGATCCCTTTTCTCTTGAATAACTGCTTGTTTTAATTTCTATGTATTAACTTAAGTAAGTGACTTTCTTTCTTTAAAAAAAAAACAACTAGATATTAGTTAATGGAAACATGTTTAAAACCGTGTACAAATTTCTGCAACTATGTGGAAAGAATCCTTAAACTCCCATAGGTAGTAGTTTAGATAGAATACAGAGGTGCCAGCTAAAGATTCCATCAATGTAAAAACAGGGTTTCACTGTGAAAATAAAAACTAAATAACATCATAAAAATTTTTTTTTAAGTAATAGTCTTTGGATTATGATTAAGGACTAGTCTCTAACTATGTTCTTTAAAAAAAATAACTATTCTTTCTAGTAATGTATAGAAAACAAACTAATCTTATACTAAAGATAAATTAATAAAAATAGATTTGATAAAGTTTGGTATATATAAGAATTAAAGCAGTATTTTCTGTTTCAAGCCGGTGTATAATTGTTTAGAAATCACTAATGAAACGAAATATTGAAGACAAAACAACTACACAAAACACTTACCTCTAACATTTCATGCAGTGTTATCAGCTGTGCAGTTGATTCTTGAGTGTTTGTCTTAGACAGAAATGTGAATAACAAAGAATTAACATTTCAATTCTGCCAATGGCAGAATATTAGAGTATATCTATTAAAAAATTTTTAAAAAATTAGTATTTCTTAAATGCAATGGTACAAGGTATACCAACACCAAATATTTATAATTATGTGATTTTAAAAGAATTCTGAAAGTAAACAATCTGCTTGTTCTACACAGTCAGATTCATAAAAAAGAGTTCAAACAACCTCTAAGAAAGTGAAATCTTCTGCAATTCAGACTATCTATAAATAAATAACAGATAAATTTTATTTATATTTTACATATACTCATGTAAAAGAAAGTTTAATGTATGAACCTTCCAATCAAAATATCTCAAATAAATGGCATTCCAAATCCTATTTATACAGCTTCAGAACAGGAAACTTACTTCCCAGAGAGCCTTGTTCAACTTTCTATAATTCCTGACAGTTCTTAATGTTTACTCTTAATGTTTTAACTCAACTCATTGCTTCTTTTTCCCTTCGAATGACAGAGAATAAATCCCATTTCAATGCAATCCAAGATTCCTCAAATATTTGAAGATGGGTATTCTGGGCCCCAAGTCTTGGCCATATTAATTGCCATTAGTTCCTTCAATTAACGTTCATAATCCATAGACTTGTAGCTCCTTGATGTCATAGTTGTTCTCTAAATGCACCCTAATTTATCTTTTTTCCTTTTCAAAAAAAATTTTTTTTTAATGTTTTATTCATTTCTAGGAGAGAGAGAGACAGCGTGAGCAGGGGAGGGTCAGAGAGAGAGGGAGTCACAGACTGAAACAGGCTCCAGGCTCTGAGCTGGCAGTCAGCACAGAGCCCGACGCGGGGCTCGAACCCACGAACCGTGAGATCATGACCGAAGCGAAAGTCGGACGCTTAACCGACTAAGCCACCCAGGCGCCCCTCTTTTTTCCTTTTCAAACCAGTCTCTATCTGACACAAGTTTGAGATGAAAAGGAAGACTCACTTCTGTACTTGTAGATTCTGGAATTTTATTCATTAACTTTATTCATTAACTTCTGGATATCAATTTTGCCCTGCTGACCCCTCTCTAAGCATACTATTATCTAAAATGTCTGAGCCTCTTTCATACATCTAGCTGAGATATGTCTCCTTCAGTCTTTAATGTTTCAAACCCAAGAAAGATATTTTATGTCCCTCACTAAAGATCCATTTTATTTGGTCCAGGTCTAGCCAGCTGAAAAATACAGTCATAATTCTATCATTCAATATATTTACTACATAGCTCCCTTAGTATCTTATCTTTTGCAGTTTTCATGACCATGCCTTCCACCTATTTATCTAAACAACTATTAAAAATATTCACTAGGGCAGGGGCACCTGGGTGGCTTAGTCGGTTAAGCGTCCAACTTTCGCTTAGGTCATGATCTCGCGGTTCGTGGGTTCGAGCCCCGCATCGGGCTCTGCGCTGACTGCCAGCTCAGAGCCTGGAGCCTGTTTCAGTCTGTGACTCCCTCTCTCTCTGACCCTCCCCTGCTCACGTTGTCTTTCTCCCTCCTAGAAATAAATAAAAAACATTAAAAAAAAAAAATTCACTAGGGCAGCTCTTCTTGCCCACTGACCTTGTTCCCATGCTTTAATAGAAACACCAATTTGCACTGAAAAAAATTATACATATTTAGTAGGAAAAGATCGAAAGGGGTTCTGCTAGAAATCTCCTTCCAAGATAGTATTTATCCTAATCAGCAGCTTTTGAGTTCAGACATTTAATTAAATGCAAAGTCATCTACCACAGTGACAGCTTATACATTCCTGATACCAGTCAAAGATTACCTTGGAGTCCTTATAAAGTTTTATGTAACTACAAATACATTAAAGAAATAGTAAAAATGAAAGGGATTTCTGAATAAAAATAGTAAAGCTGGATCGCAAAATCTCCTGACCTCTAATACCTTACTAAATGAAAGAGTGGTTTCTAAAAGCAGCATTCACTAGTGACAAAAGCAACAGATATAGAAATAAGGAACTGATACAGAAATAAGCACAACTAAAGCACAGATTAATATATAAGTGTTTGAGACAATCAAAGAAAAAGCAGAGGAAAAATATAATAAAAGCAAACCAGAAAAAAATGTTACAACATAAGGATATGAAAAATAATACAAGCCATAATAAAATAAAATTTCCATTAAATAAAATATGCCCTAAATATGCCTCTAAAAATAAGTGCATCTTCAAACCAAGACTGCTATTGAATGATCAACACTGTAAGGTATCTGTTAAATTACTGAAGTTGAAATATAAAGAACTCTTCAGATATATACTCAGAAGCAGAAAAGATATCTACAGGCTGGCCTAGTATTCTCCACAACACATCCTACTTCAGAACAATGGAGCAATCCCTGACAGGTCTTGAGATTTTTTTTTTTAATGTGCCAAAAATACCCTTTGTATCTTAAGGCAAACAAAGTGTTTTCATCAGTCAAGAATCCAAAAACTAAAATGCCCAGGAATTCAGCTTGAACAAATTACTTCTCAAAGAAACCCATCAAATCAATTAGTGAAACTTAAAAACTCAAAAATAAATGGTCAAACATAAGCATTGAATCCAATATGAATATTAAACACATATATAAATAATGTTATGAGACAGAACAAAAATGTTATAAACTTGCCAAAGGTAAAAGAACAACACATCGTAATGAGGGTACAGGAAGAAGAATGTTACTTTCCTCATCTTTCATAGCAGGGAGTCAATGAATACTGCCTAAAATTGAAAGATGAAAATTTTTAAAGTTTTTTAATCTTTTTTTTTTTAATGTTTTTTTTATTTATTTCTAGGAGAGAGAGAGAGAGACAGCGTGAGCAGGGGAGGGTCAGAGAGAGAGGGAGTCACAGACTGAAACAGGCTCCAGGCTCCGAGCTGGCAGTCAGCACAGAGCCTGACGCGGGGCTCGAACCCACGAACCGCGAGATCATGACCCAAGCGAAAGTCGGACGCTTAACCGACTAAGCCACCCAGGCGCCCCTAAAGTTTTTTAATCTTTTATAATGCTGTTCATAATTTGTTTTTTCTCTATTAGGGACTTCTCTAAAATTAAAATCACTTGAGCCAAAAACTCTGAGTTAACATTTTTCTTCTATCAATTTAAGTAAACTTACATTAAATACTTGGTTTTTTTAAAGTTTATTTAAATTTATCTTGAGAGAGAGAGAGTACACATACATGTGCATGTGCGCAAGCCAGGGAGGGACACAGAGCGAGGGAGAGAGAGAATCCTAAGCAGGCTTCACATTGTCAGTGCAGAGCCCAATGCAGGGCTTGAACTCATGAACCATGAGATCATGACCTGAGCCAAAATCAAGAACTAGATGCTTAATTGACTGAGCCTCCCAAGTACACCATCTAATACTTATTTTATACTGATCTATACAAAACTATATTGATCTGAACATCTATCAATTCATTTATGCTTCTATATATATGTATGTGTTTACAAAGATGTCCCAAATGATTTTCACCTCATGTTAATGACACGATGGAGGGATTCAGGGTTTTTTTCCCCTTTTATTTTGTACACATCTTTGAACAACAAAGCCCAGTGTTATGGACTGAACTGTGCCTTCCAAAATTTACATGTTCAAGTCCCAACCCCCCTGGTGACTATATTTGGGGATGGAGACCTTAAAGAGGTAACTAAAGTTAGATGTGGCCATAAGGGTGGGACCCTAATCCACTGGAATGATGTCTTTATAATAAGAGGAAGACACATCAGAGAGCTCTATCTACACTTGAAAAGAGAAGAGGCCATATGAGGACACGGCAAGAGATGGCTGTCCAGAGCCAGGGACAAAGACCTCAGCAGAAACCAACTCAGAAGGCATTCTGATCTTGGATTTCTAGCCTCCAGAACAGTGAGAAAATAAACTTCTTTTGTTTAAGCCATCTAATCTGTAGTATTTTTCTACAGCAGCTTTAGCCAACTCATATATCCAGTAATACTGCTTGACAAAGAAAGAGAAAGAAAAAAAGAGTAAGTACTCGATCATTTTGTAACATGTATCAACAGTCCATATACTTCATTTTTCTTTTTTTTTTTTTTTAAATGTTTTATTTATTTCTAGGAGAGAGAAAGAGACAGCGTGAGCAGGGGAGGGTCAGAGAGAGAGGGAGTGAGACTGAAACAGGCTCCAGGCTCCGAGCTGGCAGTCAGCACAGAGCCCGACGCGGGGCTCGAACCCACGAACGGCGAGATCATGACCTAAGCGAAAGTCGGACGCTTAACCGACTAAGCCACCCAGGCACCCCGATATACTTCATTTTTCAAAAGTCAGTTTATCAAATATGACTTAACAAACCCATGATGGCTTCTGTGATCAATGATTCCTTTCAGAATCCCTTAAACTTCTGGTTCTATTAGTAGAGAAGCTTGATAGATTAAAGAAAATGGTGAAAACAAGATAAGACTGGGATCAGAAAATGTCAGTGAGGTATTCTAAGATTATGATCACTAAGAGACAGGGAATCATGTAGAGGGCTAGTATCCAAAATCTATAAGGAACTCACCAAACTCCACACCCGAAAAACAAATAATCCAGTAAGGAAATCGGCAGAAGACATGAAAAGACGTTTCTCCAAAGAGGACAACCAGATGGCCAACAGACACATGAAATGATGCTCAGCGTGCTTCATCATCAGGGAAATACAAATCAAAACCACACTGAGATACCACCTCACGCCAGTCAGAGTGGCTAAAATGAGCAAATCAGAGAACTCTAGATGCTGGTGAGGATGTGGAGAAACGGGCACCCTCCTGCACTGTTGGTGGGAATGTAAACTGGTACAGCCCCTCTGGAAAACAGTGTGGAGGTTCCTCAGGAAACTAACAATAGAACTCCCTTATGACCCAGCAATAGCACTGCTAGGAATTTACCCAAGGGATACAGAAATGCTGAGGCATAGGAGCACATGTACCCCAATGTTCATAGCAGCACTCTCCACAATAGCTAAAACATGGAAAGAGCCTAAGTGTCCATCCACGGATGAATGGATCAAGAAGATGTGGTTTATCTATACCATGGAATACTCCATGGCAATGAGAAAGAATGAAATCTGGCCATGTGTAGTAATGTGGATGGAACTTGAGGGTGTTATGTTGAGCGAAATAAGTCAGGCAGAGAAGGACAGATACCACATGTTTCCACGTATAGGTGGATTAGGAGGAACTTAACGCAGGACACCTGGGTGGTTCAGTCAGTTAAGCGTCCGACTTCAACTCAGGTCATGATCTCACAGTCTGTGGGTTCAAGTCCCGTGTCAGGCTCTGTGTTGACAGCTCAGAGCCTGGAGCCTGCTTCGGACTCTGTCTCCCTCTCTCTCTGCCCCTCCTCCACTCATGCTCGGTCTCTCCCTGTCTCTCAAAAATAAATAAACGTTAAAAAATTTTAAAAGGAAGAAAAGGAGGAAGTTAACGCAAGACCATGGGGGAGAAGAAGGGGAAAAATAGTTGGGGAGAGGAAGGGAGGCAAATCATGAGAGACTCTTGAAGGCTGAGAACAAACTGAGGGTTGATGGGGGTGGGGGAGAGGGAAGGGGAATGATGGGCATGGAGGAGGGCACTTGTGGGGATGAGTACTGGGTGATATATGGAAACCAACTTGACAATAAACTATTTAAGAAAAAAAAAGAGATAGGGAATCATGAAATTAATGAAATGGTTAACAGAATACTGTCAACAATTTTAAAAATGAACAAGGTATATAAGTAACAATGGACAGAATGGGAGACAGTTACAATGAGGAAGGGGAAGAATAACAAAACACAGAGATTATAAGAAAACAGGGAATATCCTATTCTTTTCCTAATATATTCAGAGTCATTCAATAAATATTAATTCATGGGGGTGCCTGGGTGGCTGTCAGCTGAGCATCCAAGTTTGGCTCAGGTTATGATCTCACAATTCCTGAGTTCAAGCCCTGCACTAGGCTCACTGCTGTCAGCTCAGAGCCCGTTTCAGATCCTGTCCTCATCTCTCTTCCCCTCCCCCACTCATGCTCACTTGCTCTCTCTACAATGAATAAAAGGGGGCACCTGGGTGGCTCAGTCGGTCAGCGTCCGACTTCAGCTCAGGTGACGATCTCACGGTTCATGGGACAAGCCCTACGTTGGGCTCTGTGCTGACAGCTAGCTCAGAGCCTGGCGCCTGCTTCAGATTATGTGTCTCCCTCTCTCTCTGACCCTCCCCTGCTCACGCTGTCTCTCCCTCTCTCTCTCAGAAATAAATAAAACATTGAAAAATTGTTTTAATTGAATAAACATCTATAAAAATAAATAAGAACTCAGAAGATACTAGAATACATATGCAAGATAATAGACCTACAAAGATGAATTCAACACATGAAGGAGCTCAGAGTGCACAGTAGGTGAACAGAGAGATAGATACAAATGATTGCTATAAAATCATGTGATAATACTAATAAAATGACACATAAACTTCATTTAATACTTCATACAAAGGATGATGTTTGATGTGCCTTAAGTAAGAATTTGCCATCTTCATCAGATACGAAATGTTTTGTAAGCAGAAGGAACAGAACACAGAAGACACAAAAAGTGACAGGTCATTGCATACTTTCTGGAACTACAGGATACAGTTGAATGGATTCATGCAAGACATAAATAAAGAATGGTTAGAAAGGAGGCTAAAGAGACAAAGTCCAGAATATAAATTGATTACTCTAAGGAGTTTAAAGACTTCATCCAGAAAGGAGCCATAAGTTTTATGTTTAAAAATAATTAAAATATGTATTTTTATTTTTAAAAAAATTTTTTATAGTTTATTTCTGAGACAGAGACAGAGCATGCGCGGGGGAGGGGCAAAGAGAGAGAGAGAGAGAGAGCAAGACACGGAATTGGAAACAGGCTCCATGCTCTGAGCTGCCAGCACAGAACCCGACACGGGGCTCAAACCCACGAACCGCGAGATCATGACCTGAGCCAAAGTCAGACACTTAACCTACTGAGCCACCCAGGCACCCCTAAAATATGTATTTTTAGAAAAATAATTCTGGTACCAATTTCAATGCCTTCCCCACTTCCACAAGCTCTCTTTACTTACATTAGACACTATTTTTAAAAAGGAATTAAAGTATTTTCAATCTTCTGTCACCAAATGAAGTATTTATTTGCTTTTGTGAAAAAGGTTTATTCCCTCATAACCACTAGTCAAATAGTTAAGAACTTCTATTAACTAACAGATATCTTTTGATTTTAAATGTTTCATATGCTCATCATGGAAAATTTGGAAAACAACAAAAACAAATCTCACTAAAATCCTAACACCCATACGTAGACACTATTACATTTTTTAGTACAAATTAGACTAATAAAATTTAGCTAGCTGTTTTTTATCCATTTAATAATAAATTGTGAGCATGTTAAGAACTTTTTTGGTAGTTCAATATGTTATTTTAAAAAGGTACATTCCCCCCACTATATGGATACAATATTTAAAAAATGTATTTAATTCTAATTTATTGACAAACTAGGTTACTTCTAATTTTTCAAAAAATATTGTAATGTGATGTTGGAAGATTTCTTTACATGTATCTGTGTGTGTCTTTGAAATGTATAACAAACTACAAAAATTTATCAGAAAATTTACATTTGAACCTATGTGAAACAATCTCATATACAAATATCTACATGAATTTGTTCTTTAAAACTTACCTTTTTCTTTTTCTTTTTAACATTTCTATCAGGCAGAGGAAAATGATCTTCCAGAAATTCACCCAAAGTAATCAAGAGCTTTTCCTTAAATTCTTTTATACCATGGATTTTAGTGTTCAGGTCATCAAAGATTCTAACAGATTTTTTAAAAATTAAGAGAAATATTTTACAGATAAAATACATAAGATAATGAGTATATGTAACCAGTTACTCATAAAGTTGATGAAACACTTTGTTCAAACTTCATTTGTTCAAACCAAGTAACTGACTTTATGAAAGTAAAATTCTCTATTTAACATATAAGGAAACTACATGTCAAGCCATTAATAAAAAACCATGTAACTAACAGTTGGCAAAAATTAAAGTAAAACTCATGATTTTTAATAACATTTCCCCTCTTTTTATCTATGTATTTCATGTTACATTAAAAAAAACTTTTTCCTATTTCAAAAACCTAGAATACAAAATTAATACCTCGATTCAGAAATTGTCACAACCTGATTTTTCAATTCACTGTGTAGTACATTAAGAGATTCCAATATCTGTTGTTGTTCCTCCAACCACTGTTGCTCCCTTTAAACATGGAAAAACAAAACCGACAGTAGCCCAATAAAACAATAATGCCAATTCAACATATATCTGTGATTAGAGGTAATTATAATATAAATATACCTTTCCAAGTCTTCCTTTAACTTTTCATTCTTTGACTGAATAGTAGAGAGTACCAATTCAAGATCATGTCTCAATTTTTGGAACTAGAACAAAATAATTCAAATTAATTCCTTAGTCTATAATCCCATAGACAGTTATATTTCTGAACAAGAGTGAAATTTACATTATTTGCTTAGGATATTCAGAAATTGAGAGCAAAAAGACCATCAGAAAGTCTATGAAAGAAAAATAGACAGCAGATATTAAGTTCTCTGTAATATGTCATTTGTTAAATTCAAAAATATAAGAAGTGGTTTTGAGCTATAAATTTGAATTTCATACTAAAAGGCAATTAAATGGTAAGTTTTCGGTATTCAGGTAGATTGGGTGATTGTTTACAATCTAAACATACAAAACAAATATGAATGATTATCACTCATTTAACAAATATTTATTGATCACTGACTACCACGCAAGATTGAGAGAGCCAAGGATTCAAAGATGAACAAAGAGGAGAATCCAAACAAGCAAATATATAACTGCAGAGAGTGATCAGTATCATGAAGAAAAAATAAGTCAAAATAGGAGCACAGAAATGAGGAGCAGGAATGGCTCTTTTAGGTAATATGGTAGAGAGAGACCTCTCTGATCAAGTTAACAGTACCACAGCAGATAAAGACAAGAGACATGACACTGACAATATCTAGCAAAACAATGTTCCACACAGAAAGACAGTAGGTACAAAGGCACTGAAGCAAGAGTATGTGTGAGATATTCAAGGAACACCAAAGAAGACTATGTGGCTACAGCAAATTACAGGAACATTTGGATTTTTTTCCTAGTATCTTTTTGGTTTTTTAACATATTAGCTAGTATTGCACTTTCTTGATGTCAACAGTTTACCAGAGCTTTTTACACATTTAAATCAGTGATAATTTAAGGTTATCTGTTACAGGGGCACCTGGGTGGCTCAGTCAGTTGAACATGCAATTTTGGTTCAGGTCATGATCTCCCAGTTTCTGAGTTCGAGCCCCACACTGGGCTCTCTGCTGTCAGCACAGAGCCTGCTTTAGGTCTTCTATACCCCGCTCTGTGCCTCTCCCACTCGTACTCTCTCTCTCAAAAATAAAATAAAAATGTAAAAGAATAAATAAATAAACAAAACAATGATGTCTGTTATAAACCTTAGAGAAACCATACAAAAAAAGGGAGAAATAACCAAATAAACCAAAGGTGTAAATAAAATGGGTTTATTTTTAAAAATACACAATTCAAGAAACTGGAAAGAGGGGCGCCTGGGTGGCTCAGTCAGTTAAGTGTCCGACTTCAGCTCAGGTCATGATCTCACAGCTTGTTCTCACAGCTTGTGGATTCAAGCCCCACGTTGAGCTCTTGTGCTGACAGCTCAGAGCCTGGAGCCAGCTTCAGATTCTGTGTCCCCCTTTTTCTCTCTGCCCCTCTCTAGCTCCTCCCTGCTCATGCTCTGTTTCTCAATAATAAATGTTAAAAAATATTTAAAAAAAGAAAAGAAAACAATTCCATTTACAACAGCAACAAAAAGAATAAAATACTAGGAATAAACTTAACCAATGAGGTCAAAGATCTATATTCTGAAAAATATGAAACACTAATGAAAAAAACGGAGAAGACACAAATAAATGGAAAGATACTTCATGCTCATGGACAAGAAGAGCAATATTGTTAACATGTTTATAGTGCCAGAGCAATCTGCAGATTTAATGCAATCCCCATCAAAATACCAAGAACAGTTTTCACAGAACTAGGACAAATAATCCTATATAGAACCCTTCAAAAACCTCAAATAACCAAAGCAATTTTGAAAGAGAACAAAAACTGGAGACATCACGATCCCAGATTTCAAAATATAGTACAAAGCTGTGGTAACTAAAACAGTAGGATACTGGCACAAAAACAGATAAAGATCAATAGAACAGAATAGAGTCCAGAAATGAATCCATACTTTCATGGTCAATTAATCTACGACAAAGGAGGCAAGAATACACAATGGGAAAAAACCATTTCTTCAAAAAATGGTGTTGGGAAAACTGAAGAACTAATGCAAAAGAAGGAAACTGGTCCACTCTCTTATACCTTACACAAAAAAATAAACTCAAAATAGATTAAAGACCTTAATGTAAGACTTAAAACCATACAATTTCTAAAAGAAAACATAGGTAAGTAATTTCTTTGACATGAGCCATAGAAATATTTTTCTAGATATGATTCCTCTAGCAAGAGAAACAAAAGGAAAATGAGGGGTGTCTGGGTGGCTCAGTTGGTTAAGCATCCGACTTCAGCTCAGGTCATGATCTCAGGGCTCGTGGGTCTGAGCCCTGCATTGGGTGTGGTACTGACAGCTTAGAGCCTGGAGCCTGCTTGGGATTCTGTGTCTCCCTCTCTCTGCCCCCCGCTTGTGCTCTGTTCTATCTCTCTCTCTCAAAAATAAACATTTTTAAAAAACTAAAAATAAATAAAAAATAAATAAATATTGTTTAAAAAAAACAAAATTAAACTATTGAGACCATACCAAACTAAAAAGCTTTTGCACAGCCAAGGAAACCGTCAGCAAAACAGAAAGGCAACATACTAAATGGGAGAAGATTTTTGCCAATGATATATATATGATAAGGGGTTCGCATCTAACTATGTAAGGAACTTATACAACTCAGTGCCAACAAAAATTAATAATCCAATTAAAACTGAGCAGAGGACCTGAATAATCACTTTTCCAAAAAGGACATTTAGATGGCCAAAAGACACATGAAATGTTGCTCAATATCACTAATCATTAGGGAAATGCAAATTAAAACAATGAGATATCACTACACACCTGTCAGAATGGCTAAAATAAAAAACATATGAAATAACAAGTAATGGTAAGGATGTGGAGAAAAAGGAAATCTTATGCACTGTTGGTAGGAATGCAAATTGATGTAGCCACTGTGGGAAATAGTATGGAAATTGCTCAAAATATTAAAATGAGAATTACCATATGATCCAGTAATTCCACTACTGTGTATATACCCAAAGAAAACAAAAACATTATTTCAAAACGATATATGCATCCCTATATTTATTGTATATATACAACAGCCAAGATATGAAAGTAACTCAAATGCCCTTCAACAGACAACTGGATAAAGAAGACATGGCATATCTATACTATGGACTATTACTCAGCCATAAACAAAGAATGACATCTTACCATCTGCAACAATATGGATGGATCTAGAGGGTATAATGCTAAGTAAAATAAGTCAAATGGAGAAAGACTATACCATATAAATTTCACCTGTATGTGGAATTTAAGAAACAAACAAAGAGAAAAAAGGAGTCTTAAATATACAGAGAACAAACTGGGTTGCCAGAGGGGAGGTAGGTGGAATGATAGGGAAAACAGATAAAAGGGATTAAGAGTACAGTTATCTCGATAAGACCTAAGAAATGTATAGAATGGTTGAATCATTATATTGTATACCTGAAACTACTATAATACCCTATGCTTAAATCAATGTAACTTATTACATCAACAGACTAAATTAGAAGAAAACATTCTTCTCCATGAATTCAGAAAAAAAAATGAGAAAATTCAATAATAATTTATAATTTTAGAAAAGACTTCATTACTTGTATTAAAAGGTAATTTCTGGGGCTCCTAGGTTGATCAGTCTGTTAAATGTCCAACTCACTGTGATGAGATCAGGCTCTGAGTCAGGCTTCGTGCTGGGCATTGGGTCTGCTTAAGATTCCTTCTCCCTCTCACTCTGCCCCTCCCTGGCTTATGCTAACACACATACACACACACACACACACACACACACACACATGCTCTGTTTCTCTCACAAAAAAAAAAAAAAAAAGAAGGTAATTTCCCAAGGGCATCTATGAAAAACCTACTGCTAACATCACAATGATGAAAGAGAAAATGCTATCCACTATGGTGAGGAACAAGGCAAAAAATGTCCATCTCCACCAGTTTTATTATATTTCTGAAAGTCCTAGAGTAATACAATAATGCAAGAAAAACAGGGGTGCCTAGTTGGCTCAGTTGGTTAAGCGTCCGACATCGGCTCAGGTCATGATCTCACAGTTCGTGGGTTTGAGCCCCGCATGGGACTCTGCTGACAGCTAGTTCAGAGCCTGGAGCCTGTTTCAGATTCTGTATCTCACTCTCTCTCTGCCCCTCCCCTGTTCATGCTGTCTCTCTCTCTCTCTCTCTCTCTCTCTCTCTCAGAAATAAATAAAACATTAAAAAAAAAAAGAAAAACATATAAAAGGCATCAAGATGGAAAGGAATAAATGCATGTCCCTCTGATCTCAGATGACATGACTAGCTATGTAGAAAATCTCATAGCACCTACAAAAAAGCTACTAGAAAAAAGGGCTTTATCATACTAGGACCAATATATAAATATTAATTGTATTTGTATGTACCAGCAATACATAATTGACAACTAAAAAAAGAATACCACTTTAATTACATTAAAAATATGAAATGCTAAAAGGATGAATTTGACAAAAATGCATAAAGCCTGCACACCTCTATTACAACTTATTAAATCTTTTTTTAAAAACCATGAATTGGGACATCTGGATGGCTAAGTTGAGAGTGCATGAGACTCTTGATCCTGGGGTCATGAGTTCAAGCCCTCTGTTTAGGGAGAAATGCTTAAGAAAAAATAAAAATTAAAAAAAATCTAGAATATTGAATTTTGTCACATTCTTTCTGAATTCACGAGATGACTGAATATCTTTTTTTCTTTTTTAGCCTTTAACATAGTGAATTATAAAACATCGATGATATGAATCTTAAAAATCCTAAACAAATGGAGACCTAAGTAAATGCCGAGATCATATAGGGCTCCTGGATCTGAATTGAGACTCATATGTTAAAGATGTCAATTGTCCTCAAATTAAACTACAGAATCAGGGCAATCTCCGTCAAAATTCAGTGAGCTTTTTATGGGATAGAATGACCAGCCAACTCTAATTTATATGAAAATATAAAACAATTTTGATAAAGAACAAAGATAGAAAATGCATCCTATTTTATTTCAAGATTTAATATAAAGCTTCAGTAAAT